AAAATTCAAATAAAGCACAAAAGAGTAAACTTGACAAGTAAATGATATGACATATGCTAACAATTTCAAATAAATCATGTGAGAATAAACTTGACGAATAAAAGATATAACGTGTGCTAAAAACTTCAAATAAATACATGAAAGAAGCCTAAGAGTCTAAACAGGTCAATTTCCACATATAAGCCCGAGTACGCTCTAGTCACCTCGCGCACACGTCTTTCACATAGTTCAAATAATACAATCAGCCCAAATCCTAATGGGTAGTTTTCCCACACAAAGTTTGACAAGATACTTACCTCAAAGAAGCTAAATCAATAACTCTAAATAGACTTTCCCGTGTGAAACAACCTCCTGACTTCTTGAACCTAGCCAAAATAACTTAATATCATAAATAAAAGCCATAAGAAATCATTTCGGATAATAAAGCTTCGATCATTAATGAAAAAGAAAAAGTCAACCGAAAAAGTCAACTCTAGGCTTGCACCTCGAAACCTGACAAAACTCACAAAATCCGAATACCCATTCCGAAACCATACCAAAATCATCCTATTCCGATCTCAAATCGGCCTTCAAATCATCATTTTATACTTTAGAAAGTTTTTACAAAAATCTTCAATTTCCTCCTATTCAAATTACTAATTAAATAATAATAACAAAGATAGAATCATGAAATATTACCAAATCCGAGTCAAGAATACATGACCCCAATCCAAATCGTGAAAATCACTCTAAAATTGCCCAAAACTGAGCTCCACAACTCAAGATATGATAAAAACAACCAAACCCTCGATATATAACATGTTCTGCCCAACACTTCCGCTTTTGCGGACCCTCAGTTGTATCTGCGAAACCACATCTACGGAAATATCATCGCAGATGGGAAAATAACTAAAATCCCAAATGTCCGCTCCTGCGTCCAAGACACTGCTCCTATGGTATCACTTATGCAAACAATGAAGTGCACTTGCGCAACCGCTTTTGTGACAAAACCTCTGCATTTGCGAAAACTTCCTACCCAGCTCACTACCGCACCTGCGCATACCGACTCGCACCTACGAAGCCACATCTGTGATCACCGTACCTGCTCCCAATGGTCCGCAGGTGCGACCACGCCAAATCCCCGCCCAAACCAGCTTCAACCAACATGATCTAAATGATCCGAAATCCATCTGAAACACACCCCGGGTCCTCGAAACCTTATTCGAATATACCAATAAGTTCCATAACATAACGCGGACCTGCTAGAGGCCTCAAATCACATCAGATATACTAATCGGACCTCAATTCAAGCCTAACAAACTAATGAGCTTTCAACTTCTACAACATGCACCGAATCATATCAAATCAACCTGGAATGACCTCAAATTTTGCATACAAGTCCCAAATGACACAATAGAGCTATATCAACTCTCAGAATTGCAATCCGAACCTGATATCAATAAAGTCAACTCCCAGTCAAATCTTTCAACCTTCCAAATTTTTAACTTTCTAACTCTAGCCAAAATACATTAAATCAACCTACGAACCACTAAATCCAAATACGAACATACGCATAAGTCCAAAAGATCATACAAAACTATTGGAATCATCAAAATACCATTCCGGAGTTGTCTATATAAAAGTCAAACTCCGGTCAACTCTTACCACTTAAGCTTCCAAAACAAGAATCATTCTTCTAAATCAATCCCGAATCACCCGAAAACCGAATCCAACCATACACACAAGTCATAATAAACAATGCAAAGCTACTACCTAACGAGATGCTAATTTTAGAACGACCGGTGGGGTCATTATAGGGCCCAAGATAACTTTTTAGTTGACTTTGAGTATTTGGTTAAAGATTCGACCTTTATCGTTTGGGTTTGATTCCTATGGCATCATTTGATATTTTTGAGCTGCTTTTGGCTAGCTACGAGTCGTCCGGAGGTCAGTTCGTGCAAGATGTCAATTTTAGAGTATCGATTTAGCTTGCTTGAGGTAAGTATCTCACCTAAACTTGGTTGAGGCACTAATTGCGTGAGTTATTTGTAATAGCAATGTGCTATGGGTGGTACACTTGTGTGGGGATGAACCAATGTGCGTGCACCGAGGTATTTTTCATACTCGGGGTAGTGTTTAGGTTATGATATTTCTTGGATTGATTGCTAAGTTTCATGATGTGATGGTTTTTATATTTGTATCCCTGTTGTGTGTTATTCGAGCCATGTTTGAGGTTACATAGAGGTTAATCTCCTGATTGAACCTGATAATTGTTACTTTTGTAATGTATTTGCCTGATTTGAGCTATGATAGCACACTTTGCACATGCATATAACATAGCATGTCACTTATGCCAGTCCAGGAGTATGAAATTTGATGTTCATCGATCATGTACATGTATTCTTGCATGTATGCTTTCTGTGTGACATGGATTTGACTGGTAGCCCATGACCATGCCGGACATATTATGATATTGAGCATGTGACCATGACAGGCGGATTGTGATATTAAGCATGTGATCACGTCGGGCGGATTGTGATATTGAGCATGTGACCACGTCAGGCGGATTGTGATATTGAGCATGTGATCACGTCGGGAAGATTGTGATATTGAGCCTATGACCATGCTAGGCGGATTGCACGTGACTACGTCGTGCAGTGTGTAGATATGGATCCATCCCCTAGGGTCATCCTCTCATGTGCATTCTTGATGGTATACATGCAGATTTTGAGAAACTGACAGGTTTCTGGTTGATGTGGTATGAGTAAATCTGATCAGGGGTTTGGTTTGGTTATGGCATCTCTGAGGAAAGTCTGGCCATTATTTGATTATGTTATTGCATTTCATATTTAGTTGCAATTTTCTTGGTTATCTACCAGATTTATTTGCATATCTTCTTTATAGGCTGGATCGTTGACTGAGCAGATTACGTTAAGTTATTGTGCACACCAAGATGATTTTATTTGTAATTCATGACTTAAGAATATTGCTGTTATGTACTTGTTAGAATTATGAACTGTACAAGTAATTAACGGGTGTCATTTAAAATTCTTGCTTCTACTTCCTCGTCAAGGTTAGTTATGATACTTGCTGAGTACATGCGATCAGTTGTACTCATACTATACTTCTACACCTTGCGTGTAGATCTTGGAACTGAGTTGATGTGGATGGCGGAAGCTGGCATTGAATATGTACGGGTGTTCCAGATATGGCTACCATTTGTCCTTGGTAGTTTTAGATTCATATCTGTTATTGTATATTCCAAATAGATGTTGTATTTATTTTCATACCAGCTTTGCAATTCTAATTCTTAGTGGCTCATGACTTGTACTACCAATTCATGGGTTATTATATAGAAACTCAATTGTTTCATTTATTGATTTCATTATTATTCTCATTTGAGTTGTATCGATTATTGTTTGGCTTACCTAGCGGGTTGGGTTAAGTGTCATCACGACTAGGTGATTTTGGGTAGTGACATTAATTGTGCGATATTTGAGCTTAATTAAGTTATTTTTATATGTAAGATCATTGGAAATGCATTAAGGAATAAAAGCTACATAAAATGATCTTGAAGACACAAGAAAAGAGCATGAAAATGAGAAAATCGGAGCAAGGCAAAGATACCTCGCCCTAGGCCTTGCCCCGTTTAAGGCTTGGTCCCCCAGTCGGCGAATAAATTATTTTCTACTCACTTTTGGACTTGGAGACTTCGACCCTAGACTATAAATACTCCCTAAACATGTCTAAGAAAGGGGTTGGACGTTTTTGAGAGGGGAATTCAACCATGGGAGAGAACGAGCCGTTGTGGAGGCCGGAGTTCATCAGATTCCATCTTTCTTCCACCAAACTTAGTAATTCTTATGTTTCTTTGTATGATTAGTTTTTGGCTACCATGTCTATGTGGAGCTAAATTTCACATTCTAGGGTTGTGGTTCTTTCATGAATATTATTATTTGAATATTGATTTTGATTTCTTGATTTGTCGTATTGATTTATTTATTCAATCATGCGCTTAATTACTTGATTTCTTGATCACCAATTGAACTATCTACGAATCTAGAATAGAACTCGAAAGTGAAAATTCTAGATTGCACATAGGATTGAGTAGAGAAAGTTCTTGAACTTGGGCATCGGAGAATGGATTCACAGTTAGGATAAACATATGTTAATTGCTTGGTTATTATACGGGAACTATGAATGCATTCTTGTTGATTCTGACTTTATAGACATATAGGCATTAAGTTAGCTTGAATAGGCGATTAAGAACTCGATAGATTCTTATGGGCAATATTAGCCCCGTCAACCAATAAATCAGATAAATTAATTAGCCAATTCAATTGAGGAATGCAATAGAATTGTTAGATAACCCATAACTTTAGATCGTTTCCATTGCATTGATAACTTAAAAATTTGCTTTCCCTTTGTTTAGAATTCATTAAGTATTTGTTTTCTTTTTGTTTAATTATTTAGCATTTCCACTTCTAGGTTTAATTTTTATTTAAATAATGAGGACAGTCTAATTTAGTCAATAGTTGATAACAAGTCTTAGTGAGTTTGACATCCGACTTCTAGTCACTTTATTACTTGACGATCGCGTATACTTGCGTGTGCATTTGGTCGCAACAATGAATATCAAATTACTTATCATTTATTTAAGTTACTCCTAATCACTTTTAAGTAATTCTTTGTGCAAACATTTTTACCCAACAGTACGTAGAACTTGAACTTGCAACAAAATAAACCTTACTATTAGATATGGATAGACCCTCCATGTTATACATATCGTTCTAGCTGCATGTTGGTTTGAGGGTGCAATTTGCAAACGTGGAATTTTATTATTTGTCAGGTGACTACAACCCTGCGTTACCCCTGAATATTCAAGAACAAAAATGAACATTCCAGAAATATTATCTACGTTATTTTTCCAAGTGTCTCCCTCTTCGAACTTTCTCCAGAAACTTGTAGACCTCTCATTACAGGTCATCTCCTTCCTATATAAATCCCCAATTTATTATATTTCAACATATAGAAAAGAAAGTTCTACTCTTATTACCTTCCAACCCATTAACGACCTTTGATACACAAAACTCTGCATAAACTAGTGTACTTGTAACGTCCATACTAGCTAGAACAAATCAAAAATGGTGAAAACAACTGTTAGTCTTTTGAGCTTTCTAGTGTTAGCAATGGCTGTAGTCTTATTTCTTCCATCACAAACTGAAGCACTAATGCCATACACACGCCCTTTTTGGGACTTAACGTTCCCACCAGAAGATCCTTTCAAGATTCTTGAACAAATCCCACTAACCATCCCAAAAGGGGTCGATTCAATCGCCTTAGCTCGCTCAGACTGGAAGGAAACAGGAACAGAGCACGTAATTACCCTCGACATACCAGGGATGAAAAGGGATGACATCAAGATCGAGGTGGAAGAGAACAGGGTGTTGAGAATCATTGGGGAAAGGAAAATAGAGGAAGAAGTTGAAGGAGAAAAGTGGCACAGAGCTGAGAGGACTTCTGGAAAATTCTGGAGACAGTTTAGGTTACCTGGGAATGCAGATTTGGAACACATAAAGGCTCATTTGGAAAATGGTGTCTTGAAGATTACTGTGCCAAAGTTGGCTGAAGAGAAGAAGAAACAGACAAAGGTGATTAATATTGCTGAGGATGGTAACTCTGCTGGTGGTGAGGACATTAAAGCTACCAAAGCTGAGATGTAAATTAACTCTGCTGTCAGTCTAATGTTTTGGTTTTGTTTATCTTCGTAGTTGTGTTTTTGTATTTGTGAGTTTCTAATAAAGTTCTCAAATGCATGGTGTTTGGTATGGGGCTAAATATTTTTCTAATAATATTTTTCAAATTTTTCATGTTTTGTTACTTTAAATATTTTAAAAAATATTTTTCTCATGAACTTATTTTTTTATAATTGATGAAAAATATTTTTCAAAAATATTTTTCAACATTCTCCATGATATTTCTCATTCCCACCAATACCATCCTTCACTCCCAAACCACTCCTACCCCACTCGCCCCAACCACTCCAACTCTTACCTCCACCACACCCCCACCTTCCCTAGCCTCGTCCATCACTCACCCTAAATAAAAATATTATTAAAAATATTTTCTTTTCATGTTATATAAATAGAATATATTATTTTTATGATGTAGAAAAAATATTTTTTTTAGTTATAGAACTCAAATTTCAACATTGTTCTTGTGTGAAATAGTAAAGTAGCACATTAATTTTTTTGGATTTGTATGAATTTTGAAAAAAAATAATTAAATTATTGAAGAAAATAGTGTCCCGGAGGGGGAAGGGGGAGGGTAAAGTAATAAGATCGATCACATAAGATTAGAGAGATAGAATGGATTGTTATCAATACGAGAAATACGGATCGCGACAAGATAGATGCAAGATAGTCATGTGGGATTTAATGCTATTTAAATTCACTTTTAATGTTTTAATAATTTTTATGAATTCACTAGATTATTAGCTTAATCGTAAGGTTACGATTTCTCTCCCGATTAAATTTAAACTTTACGAGGTAAATTAATATAAAATACTTAAAGATATGCAAGAACACGTTAATAAATTAGTCTTTAGAAAAAATTCTTTCGATTATTCTCTTAATTTGGTTTCATCAACAATTCAAAAGCTCTCTCGATTATTTAAAAAAATTACTAAATTAAACCAACAAAATAATTCAAAGATACTCATCAAAATATTTCTCTTTCGATTAAATAAATTGGTGAACAAATTTACAATCAATTCAAAGTTCTATAAGCGAATTCATACAATTAAATTAGAATTAAATATACAAACAACACTCAAAATATCATATCCGTCAAACTCTAAGATAAATTACTCCATAACGATGGAAAAAGTCACGAATAAGTTCAAAGATATAAACAACATTAAAATTAACTATTCGAACCGATTGTTGGTTGAGTTTTAGACGAAATTCAATCTCTTCTTGCCTTATTCGTTATTCAAGGTCAAAAGTTATCTGAAAAATATATTTTGGGTGTATTTATACCGTGTATCTACAAATTAGGACCAAACTGCCTTTAATGAGATAGAGTGAAAAAGTCTAGCCGTATTTTTGCACTGATGCATCACATCGTGCTACGTGCTATACGTCGCACTAATAGAATTGTGCCGGATGGCAACTTTAAAGTGGTAAACTTAAATTCTTGTCGAATCTTAGATCTATTCGAGGTATTCAAGAAATGTGATTGGTTTTAGGTTTATTATTGCTTTTGTTACTTTTAAAAGGTCCAATTTCACGATTTATCTCTTGATTTTAATTTTGTACCAAAGATGATTAGTTTTTTATTAGTTAATTGTTGTTGTTTTGATTTAACTTCAAAAATATATTTTTTGAATTTAAGAAACACTTTCTTGAATTCAATTTCTGTCTTTTTTTTTTTTTTTTAATTTCTTTTTAACTTCCACATATTTCTTTATTTTCTCATTTTTCTTTATTAGTTTCTTGGATTCCTATCGAGCTGTTATCTATATAGAAAATGTAACATATTTTTTATAGGACAATGGAACCTTGATAAACTCAAAAACAAAATGCGAGTTGATGATACGTGTGAAACCTTTGGTGCAAAACTTCCCATAAATGGTGCGTCATAGTGTATTCTTATCTACTGGTGCTTTTGTTGCCTTATTCAACTTCTATGCAACTCCAGTTATGTAAAGGAAAAAATTTGATTCTCGATACATTACATAGACATTGTGAAGAATAATGGATTCCACCCTCTTATATATATTAGGTAAAATCGGTTTATAACAGATAGTTGAATAATAACATGATATGTGGAATCGAAGACAGGTAAAAGGCGAATTAAGTAACAATCGGTACCGAAAACAAAAGCTGTAGTTGACATCGGATAAATCCCAAAGGGAGCATGGTCAATGGAAGCAGATCAAATATTTGACATCGGATAGCATTCAATGAAGAATATTCTCTAACATTAAATGGGCGACCGTTGGAGAGAATATTTGCATTCATGGCCTGCCGTCACATATTCATCAATAACTCATTTATGATCATTTAAGTGGAGTTTGATTCTAGGATCTTGTTTCCTTCGGTATAGCTATAAATAGCAGGCTCAGCAGCCATTGTAACACACACAATTCTTGGAAAAACTTATGCTATATTTCATTTTCACGCTGAATTAAACAACTTTGTTAACTCTTTTGCATTGCTCTCATTTCCGTCCTCGAGGACATTGCGCTCGGAGTCAGGCTTGCCTTCTTTTTCAATTTCAATTTCTATGTCTTACTTTTAATCTTATTTCCTTAACATTTTTGGGATCAAATCAGTTCGCTTGTCTATAAACCACATGATAAATTTAACTATACCGTTTTACGGGTAAACAGTTTGGCGTCCACCATGGGGCTTATACAGTTGAGTATCTTTGATCCTTACGTGTATTACTAAATTGTTTGACTTTTTCCTTAGCAGGAAATCAAAAATGGCAGCTAATGATGTCAACATCACGCACAACGTTGAGGGACACAAAAATTTGCCTCAACATGAAGATTCAATCAGCGACACCCGTAATGAAGGGGATGAAGAAACCACGGTTCACGAAAGGAAGTATCCCAGGCATGTGCGGAAGACAACTCCCGATGACGTGGAGGAGGAACATGCCGTGGAAACAGTGAAAATCTCGAAGGAGCAGCAAAAAGCCATCTTGAGCCATCTCTCAAGGCAATATAGGGTAATGACGGAGTTGAAACAAGCATTGTCAAGCGCTTCCAACAATGCAAACAGAAGGGTCCTGGTTCCTCCCGGCATTCCTGCAAGTCAAGCGGCTCAAAGAGTTGATAACAATACCCCAAGGGTGAGGTCAGTTTAGACGGTACCGGAGGCACCAATAGCGTATCCGGTAACGATAACAGGAATGACCCCTTCAAAATTGAACTCATGAGATTTATGAGGGAAATGAACGAACGGATGGATCAAAATGCGAAGGAGTTCAATGACCAAATGGATCAGATTCCGAGCGCGCCACCAGTTTTGAAAGGTCCAGATTCAAAGAAATACACGCAATTTCCATTTAAGTCAAGCGCAACGCTAGAGTTAATTCTGAAAAGGTTCAAGATGTCGGATATATAAAAATACAACGGGACTTCGGATCCACAGGAGCACATCACAACTTATACCACGGCTATGAAAGGGAACGATTTGGCTCAACATGAGATCGAATGGATTCTGCTGAAGAAGTTTGGTGAAACCCTCACAAAGGGGGCCTTGATATGGTACTCACTTTACCCGAGCATTCAATTGACTCTTTTGAAATGCTTCCTGATTCATTCATTAAGGCCCATGCCGGGGCCAAAGAGATCTAGGTTAGAAAGGCAGACATATTTAGGATTGCGCAAGGTGAGTCCGAATTGCTGCAGGAATTCGTGATCAGATTTCAGAAAGAGAGGATGTTGCTACCTGCTGTACCAGACGAGTGGGCAGCGGAGTCGTTCATAAAAGGGTTTGAATTCGAGGAGCTATGACGTCTCCCGAAAGCTGAAGGAGAGCCTGCTCAAATTCCAAACGACCACATAGGCGGATGTTCATAACCGTTACGAGTCAAAAATAAGGATAGAAGACGATCAGCTCGGTTTCCCGACATCAACCAAGGGACGAGGCCAAGACAAGAACTAAGACAAGTTCAAAATCGATTTCGATGCGGATCAGTGATCTTCTAAAGGTCGTTTTCTGCCATACTAGAGAATCGAAGGACGTGACAACAAAGGGTTCCAGCCTTTGGATAGGTTCGTTCCCAATAGAAGTGCCGACCATGGCCGGAACAACAGGTCATTACAAGAAAAGGAGGTATTGGGGGCCCAGGATTCCACATATCCCAGGTTATCAGATTATAATTTTAACATTAGCGTAGTGGAGTTGGTATCAGCGATGAGGAATATCAAAGAAGCGCGATTCTTAAAGCTAATAAGATCTGATCCCAGCTAGAAGGATCCTACTTATTGTGCGAATATCATGGGTCTCATGGCCACAGAACTGGGACTGCCGACATATGCGTGAAGAGGTGGCAATGTTGTTGAAGAATGGCCATCTCAGGGAATTCTTGAGCGATCGGGCCAAGAACAATTACGGCAGTAGTCGGGACAATGAGGAGCCTTCGAAGATAGCACAAGACTCCCCTCGGTTGACTATCAACATCATTTTCGGAGGGAATAAAATTAAAGGCACAACCTTCTCGGCAGCCAAGAAAACAAAGATATCAGTGACCTACAAAACACGTATCAGAGACTCTAACGTGCACAAAACAAAACACGTAATTGACTCTCGCTAGCCAAAGATAGTATAGTTAAATTATCATCTCCACAGGGATTGGATTTAAACAATGTTCAAGTAGTTTCTAGCTTAACGCTATTCAAGATGATTAACACTTTGGTTGTGATGATTAACAATTAAAATTAACTATGAAAAATAAAGCAACTAACAATTGATCACAGGAATACAAGAATTGAGCAACACCGAAATAAGCAAGGGGAGAAATAAAGGTCATGACAGGATATGTGCAAAATAGCTATTTGGGATCTAACTCTAGTTCAATACACTCTAAAGTTCTAATGATTCTCACGAATTTACTCGATGATTTGTTCAAACATGTAGTTAAGACTCCTCTCTCGATTAAATCTTAACTCTACGAGGTGAAATAATAGAAGCACTGTGAACATATGCAAGCATTCGTTAATGTATTAGTCTTCAGGAAAACATTTCTCGAATATTCTCCTAGCTTGATTTAATCAACAATTTAACAAGCTCTTTCGATTACTTAAAAGGATCACTAAGTTAAACCAAACAAA